GACGTCCACGCGACGCCTACTGTGCTGCGAATTACGATTGTCTTGTCACATACCTTGCATTTGGTACATCACACCGTGCTTATTACTGCATTTCTTCAGAATCAACAGAAGTTCTGCCTCACCTACGAGGCTTCAATGACACGACTATACCGTGAAGGGCGTACTGAAACTGTGCGATCATGTACAACCAGATCCAGAGCATTTGTCCTTTCTATGGTTGATCCATCAAAGACGGTGAGCACGCCCGTTTATGAATGTTAGGCATTTGTACCTACCTCTACCCCACTTTTCCGATGTGGGGTCAGAGTCTCGTCGGGGCTAGCCTTTCGTCCTAAGTATTACGGCAACTGGGGAAGGGTCGTATTGTGCAAAAGTTTAACTCAGCGGCAAAAAGTGCCCTATTGAGCGGTTCAAAGTGGGCTTAGTTGTGAGTCGAGGTCTATGCCGACATTTCAACGCCACAACTGTATGCGGTTTAATTTTACGTGTATACCGACAGAAGTTGTGGCGCTAGCGTGGCCGGCAGCTAGAATGACTGTCATTTAGGTGATTGACGAGTCAAACCGCTCAAAATTTTCCTAGCTGAAACGAGATTCTCGCCTCAAACTTCCGGAAAGAAAAAAAAAAAAGGATTAAGGCCATGAGCGAACAGAGTCAAAACTACCAATTTCCGTATTTGCCTTAGCCGCTGACGAGCGACTTTGCCCCTTCTGCAGGAAAGCATAGCTGCACATTACCACCAAGATTTATATCGGTTTAGATGCAATGTGCCAAAGGGAAAGGTGTTGACCGAAACAAAAGGCCGCAACTTTATTTTGACAAAGCTGTGATTTTGCTTTGATTCTTCATGAAGATGTGCTCTGTTAATTTCGCGAACAATACTGAAAGGCAGCGGTTCAGATATGTGATCAAGCGATACCTTGAAGAAGAATCTCCCTTCTTCGACCGGGTTTTCCCTCCAACGTATCTCCTGTCTACCAGTCAGACTCCACTGAACCAAGTTCAAATCGATATTGCCAAGTATGGTATGGAACCTGAGCGAAGGAGCAAACTTGTTACAGCTGGTGGTGAGTCCTCATTTTTTTTCTCTCTTTTGGATACTACGACACTGTAACCGGTAGTAGTTACAGTATTGGTCAGAGACTTACATCTAATTTTGTGGCGCTTCTGGCACGATCTCAGTTTTTTTCACGGCAGATCACAAGTAATAGTGCTGGGTGCTGTGCAAATTCACTGGCTTGTCGCGCAGAAAGAAACCGGAAGTCTCGTTGATAACTGACTCACCCAACACTTTTCACTTTGAAATTGCCTATCACCTCTTGCTCGATCTTCTGTGTACTTTGTCCCTTTAATGTGTGGGTGTTCTTTGTTCCACGTCTTCGGGGCGCGCTTTATGGTGAGTTGTTACGCATCTACTTTAGGAACAGTCCAAAGTTCACCTTTTTACACTAATTCGGCAGATTCTACGAGAACCGTTAGAAACGGATGGAGTAGAAAAATCGGAGGCTCGTTATTCCGCTGGCTTTCCTGGTTGGTTTTTACCTTAGGTTTGGGGCCACGGTCATATTTACCATTATGGGGATCTGCGAATAGGGAGGATGCGTTCGAGGGAAGTATTGGTATCGACTGGAGATTCTGCAAATTGTGAGAAGCCTAGAAATCGGAGATCGTGCCAAATTTCGGATGGGATTGAGATTGGGAGCTGTTCTCCCCCAAAATTTCGAAAGCTTTCCAAAATTGAGATTTGTTCCAAACAAGTTCCGCAAAGTAAAAATAGATTCTAGCATTTGACGCGCTCTATTGCCGTCTCAGGTTCATGTAACCACTACGATTGTGAATCTAAGTAGAGTGCATGCTGGCTCCCGAAAGGAGATTACTCAACGGCCAAAGCGAGGTACAGTACCCCATGAAGGGGAGAGGCGCATCGGCCTTGGTAGGCCTTTTTCGGAGCTGCGAGAGGAAACTTTCTCGATTGTTGCTTTTTCTCATTTTACGCGCGCCTATGAACCTTGCGGCGTCCGAAAGTTTTTCATGTGAAGGGGCGGGGGGGGGAGAATTGTTGAATGTCAGGAAAATGGGGGAAGTTGGTAAGAAAGGAAAGAATTTGGTGCGATGGATTCTAGGTCGTGATTGGGAGGTCGCACTGGAAGAGAGGGGATATTAGTGATCCTGCTGACATCCCCATTTCACACATCCTGATGCTGTACCCTAGAAGCTGTATTCTGTTCAGAAATTTCCATTCAAACTTTACCAATTGTCAGGAGGCTTTGGACCTGTTGCGGATCGCGGTTATGGAGTGTCTTACATTGTGGCTGGAGAACACCAGATTTCATTCCACATTTCTAGCAAACGATCTGCTGAAAATACGGTACTTTTTATGACGCATTTACCTAATGCTTCCAAGTAATTCCTATTTTACCTGATTCTTTTTCAGAGCTCGAAGGAATTCCGTGAGGAACTGAAACGGTCTTTGACTGAAATGTATGAGCTGTTCGTTGGTAGTTCAAAGTGATAGTTATCCTGAGAGCGATTTAATTTAATATGTGTTTACTGTCATTTCTATTTGCTCACTTCGTACTCATTTTTACTGTAAATATTTCTAACATATTTCTCTTCCTCTTGTGCCATTTTTGAGAGTTAATCATATTTTTCCATTATTGAGGCCTTTGCACGTTTTCTTTCATTCTAAGTCACAGGTCTAACTTTCCAGTTTTACAACGATTGTACTCATCTTAATTTTGATTACTGCTTCATTTTTTTCTTGAAAGTTCTAACGTTGCCGAAAATTTGAAGTCACCGTTTCACAGGTACTTTTTACTCTGTTATATTTGTGCATAATTCATTTGTAGCTGACAGTTAGGCATTAGGAATGTTTATGTTCTGCACAGATCCTTCGGGAGTGTATGCCTAAGCAGAAAAGTCTATTACAGATGATTCTAGCGGTCAGTGTTAAATAAAAGATATGATAATTTGTTGAAATTGATGTTTTTCCACTTGACTAGAGTTCCAACCTCCCAGATTAGTCTGGTATCAGCGGAATTGCTGGCTGCTTCGGCTTCCGACCTAGAGTCTCAGGATCTCTTTCAAACTTGAAACCTCCCTTCTTTTTTCTTACTTTTCCCTTTTTTCTTCTCTTCCCGTCGATGTCTCCTCTGTAAAGACTAAACTAAGCGACAAAAGGACGCCAAACAAATTATCACCCTCACAGCAGTAGGAGTTCTGATTGATAGATGCCTTGTAACCGACCCGGTTCTAAAGCTGCACAAGGGAGAATGGTCGTCATGAAATGGAGGGTTGAGGAAACAGTGAAGAAGACGAAAACGGGACTTTGTGTCATCCCATTAGTTGCACGATCTACGGACAACTTGGACTTAATTGCGTCGAATTTGTGTTTTTCTCTGCTCTCTCTCGTCCGCATGGCACTCTATGGTCATTTGTTCGCACATTCCAGCTTTTCACGTATGATAAGTGGCTCACCCACCCTGGAGTCCCCTCCCCTTGAAAAAGCTCGTTTCCTGGCTCGCCATAGTTTCTTGCACGTCTCGATGCTTTGGCAGGCGCTGTCCTCTGTCTGTCTGCGTTTCTTGGTTTCGCAACAGGACCATGCACAAAAGTTCAAGATGTCACGTAACCTAGTTGCACAGTTCCTGCTTAACACGCTGGTTCGCTGCGGAGGATCGGGCGTGGCCGCGCGGCTCGTTTGGCGCGCTGCCAGCCCTTTACGTTAAACGGGTAAATGACTACGACCAGTGAAAAACAACTTATATGTACAAATGATACGTTAGAGTATTGTGGCCTTCCGAATTAAAAAAAATGGGTTGGTGCCTTGCCAAGCGCAAATGCACTGAAGCCTGATGACTGATCATCCGCAGACAGCAAGACTGTGCGCTTGGGATCTGTACTCTGCTGTGGTAGGAAAAACGCTTCTCAGCATTGTGCTGCGGGGAGAAGGATGCTCAGAATCTCCTAGCTTTGCAAAAAGGATTAGAACTCTGTTCTCTGCATTTTGTAGCTTTAAACTTCATATCGCACCAACGATCTCAACGATGCTGTCTACCAGAGCCCGGTAGCTTGAGGACGGTTACCGCTGGACCTGAGTCCGTGCCGACTGGATTCCTTGGACCTTCCAGTGAAGGAAAAGCTCCCTTCCGTTCGGTCATGGGAAGAGCAGAAAGTGACATCTCTGTGCATTAGAATTAGAGTGATGCGGCATTCAACTGAACTGGGTTCGAGTCAGCTCAAGGTGGTCATTGTTCTAGGAAGACCCAGCTGCTAGCTTTTATGCTACTTTCCAATGAGAGTGTCAGCGCTTCCTTGAACTTCGGAAATTTCGATTCAGTGGATAGAACAGGCGGAACACATTTGGCCGAGTTTATGCTTTGCGATGGGAAAATAGGGAATTCGACGTTTTCGCAGAATACGTGCCAAAGGAAAGTGTAGGTATCGGTCGGCTTGATACTTCCATATCTTTGTCTCACCAATTCAGATTATTGAAGAGCCGTGGGGGCCGACCTGAAGATTGTTTGTCTAAGTGAGTGGTTAACAAATAACTCCCTCACTTGGTGGTTTATTGTTGAAGTGTTTTCTTAAAACTTGATCTACTTCTCTTCTATTGGGAGAGTAGGAAAATCGACGATTGAATTTTTTGGTAGCGCGCCAAAGGAACGGGTGGATCGACCGACATTGTCCGCTAGTGACTTGGGGATCGGACAGGGCACATCGTTGTTGGGGAATCCCCAATAGGGGGGGGTCGTATTTGGGCTGGGAAAAATTTATTTTGATAGTTGATTTTTCTCGCTTCACGGACGTTGTAAAGGGGGGGGGTCGTACTTGGTCATTGTTGGGAGGAGGGGGGGTCGTATTTACGTTTTGGCGTTGTAGGAGTGGTGGTTGACTTTTGGTGATTTTCCTGTTTCACATGTGCTATTCCCCGAATCCCATTGTCCTATTAGTGTCGATTCGATGAGGAGGGCAGAAGGCCAGAGGGGGGGGGGTCGTACCACCCCCCCCCCCCAAAATAAAGGGGGGGGGTCGTACGGACTTGACCAAAATCCCCAACCAATGATGTGCTCTGGATCAGGAGATGAGAAAATTCTTCGGCTCGATGGTAACGCCGAATTTATGCTCTCCCGCTCCTTTTTTCGAATCACTGGCGACCAGAGCCGATCGATACCGATCCACCCCAAGGCGCACGTCGAATCCCCGATTCTCCTATTTTTATCTATACATTCTCTTCGAGGCCGCGTTCATAGCTTGCGACCGTGAAGAAATGCAGAAATGCGGAAACTGCAGAAGTGCGGAAAGTGCGGAATCTGCAGAAATGACGAAAAGCATTAGATACGTATCGATTTGAAGAAATGCAGAAATGCCGAAACTGCAGAAGTGCGGAAAGTGCAGAAATGACGAAAAGCATTACATACGTATCGATCTGAAGAAATGCAGAAATGCCGAAAGTGAAGAAGTGCGGAATCTGCAGAAATGCAGAAAGTGCGGAAAATCGATACGTATCGGTTGCTTTTCGTCATTTCTGCAGATTCCGCACTTCTGCAGTTTCGGCATTTCTGCATTTCTTCAAATCGATACGTATGTAATGCTTTTCGTCATTTCTGCACTTTCCGCACTTCTGCATTTCTGCATTTCTTCATGGTCGCAAGCTATGAACGCGGCCTGACGGGCACTTTCATTTTGCTAATACCGCCGATTCACTATTTTCTGTCGCAAGGCTTGACTGCAGCCATAAGTCAAATCGCTTGGAGCGCGATCATACTTCGCGATCCCAACGATTTGATCGCGAAGTGTGAGCGTACTCTGAGCAATTTGACCGAGATCAGGTCTTTGGGTAAACGGTGATCATGACGCCTCTTGCAACGTCACCTTACCTAGTGTGGTAACACAACGTTAATGTAACACACCCGCACTAGAACATCTGGCTGGAAGTAATATTTTTGTGTTTGGTGTAAATGTGAGGAAAAGCACTACAACTTTGGGAGTATTACTTAGTTCCAAGTTTATCCAAACATTCTTTTCATAGTAACGAAGTTATGAGCTTTTTTGAGGAATGGAACAAGAACATAGAACTTTTTTCAGGAGGTGCAAATGCGAATCTGTAGTCGCTTGTGCTCGTCGCTGGTTCACTTTCATAATTTGCCGCTATGGTCAAATGAGCTGAGAACAGCTGTGGCAGCAAGTTGCCGCGTCACTCCCGCTTTTGTTACAGAAGCAGAAGAGACGGAATTGTTGAGAGAAGTAGAACCTCACATGAAGAGATTACGCTATGAAAAGAATCACTGGGACGACGTAAGAATCGTTTGATATTTCGTACTCTTTATTTCTTCAGATATTTGATAAAACCCTAGGGAACTTATGTACTCTCCAACTATTTTATAAGGCGCGCTTTGCTGTTCAGTAAGTACGTGTTCATACTTCGTTGGCGGTATGATCGCTCATATCGTGCGAGCGACCAGATCGAGCGTTCGGATCGGTTTAGCACCAGATTAAACGAATGAACGCACTTGGCGTACCTGAACAAATCCTTGTTAACCCTAATAAAACGGCCGTATTTGGCTAGCTGAGTAGGTCCAAGTATGTTTTCAATGAAAAAAAGTGAGATTTTGTTAAAGAACAGCATTCGGTGGTCCTAGGAGATGAAGGCGTAAGCCCCTCTGTTACGGAACACCTTGTCTAGTCTGAATGTCCCAACCTTGATGCATAGAATCCTGCCATGGTTTGGTTTTCATCATTTATTAATCGGCTTAAAGTGGATCTGTCAGCGATGACGTCCCTTAATGATTCTTTTCAGGCCATCCATCTGTATCGGGAACGGGAACAGCGTAAATGGTCTCCGGCTAACGAAGCAGTCATTCAGCGTATGCGGTATGTGCTTTTTTTATGCATTTGTGCAATTTTTGTTTTTAATTCAGCGCTAAGTTTGCTGGTCTCTATCGTGCTGCCCTGAGGCTGGTTACGTCATTTCGAGTGTTTGGCTTAACGGCTTACCGGAATACTGCCAAGTTTATCACTGAATTTTAGACTGGCTCGTTCTTGCAGAGATGCATCCTTTGCACCTGAAACTCAGCATCTATCATATGTTCACATCTTGGATCTTCATGCAGATGGAGTAATTAGACCACATATTGACAGCGTGAGGGTGAGTTGAAATGAATAGTTTTTGAGAAGAGCATCAATGCTGGTGAATAGGTTCTTGTGCTCTGTAATAGGCGGAGGTGGCCCACGCGCGATTTGGGGGTCGAATCACGGACCGGCTCTCGCCCAGGGCAACATTAAGCCTTCCACTCTCAGAGGACGGTATACTGGTATATGGTTCTTGTGAGGTATAAGAACACTGAATTTTTGTATAAGTGTCCTTCATTATTCATACACTCCCTTGAGAAATTTCAAGTATCAATATC